AAAAACAATTTACCAGAAAAATGATACAAAAAGACATATAAAACTCTAGCCTTATTTTTTTATTATTGCAGTCAACAGGATCATTACTGTAAATGCTTTTCAACACTTGTGTTAATGTCTGTGCAGATCCTCTTGCACCTGCTTTGCGATGGATGAACACACAGTCTACTATCATTTGTCAGTTCCGGTGGAACAGCCATTAGCTCCCAGGGGGAAGGAGTTTCTGGAACTATAAATCRAGGAGGTCCCCTAGATTTCTCCAGGCACCAGGCCTGAGAGCAGGAAACCCAGGTGGATGTTGAGAGTAAAACCCAGCATAAGGCAGGGCCACGTTTCAGCCATGTGGACATGCTGTCCTACCTATCTCTGCTTAGGGATGGAGAGGCACCACCTTCAGAGTCTGATCCCTGGATTATAGTGCCATGTGCATGGCAAATATTCACTAAGCTTGACCACTAGTTCCCAGTGTGGCGATATCACCCTAAAGGCAGCAAAAGCTGATTTGAAGTGAGCAGCAGGGACAAGGGAGGGGAGGGATTTTATTCTATGTAAAAAGCAAATGTAGTCATTTAGTACATAAACACATAATTTGTGGTACTAAAATTTCATGAAGGTGGTTATTAAGGGGRAAATGTCTAAAAGACTTTGTGGGAGGGAGATGAACCATAATAAAGAAAAACAAGTTGAGAGACACAAAGATGTTAAGCATGTTTTCACCCAGAAGCTTTTGGCAAGTGTTTTTCTTGGCTACCCTGAGAACCCAACCTAACCACTATGTACAAGTGATTCTAAGGAGGCTACCTGCTGAGTTCTACTTTTCTGACATACAAATAGACTTTTAGAATGGACTCAGTTGTTAAAAGGAAGATGACCTGTAAAAAGTGTAGCTCTCCCCATCATGTGGAAAGCTTGACATGAAAACATTCATAAAGTGCTTTATTGAATGTTCTGGAGACCCAGAGAAGAATAAGCATCAGGCTTTGGAGCAATATGGAACCATGTGCCCAGAGATTGTGCCTTATCTCTTCCTYTCCCTGCCCCTATGTTGGCAAGGTCAGGAGGCTTCACCAAATTTCATAATGGAGTTAAACTTGAGCTGTTCATTCAGTATTGTTGAGCACCCACTAAATGCTGAACACTCCAGTAAGGTCTAAAGATTGAGCTGTCTAATGTGATAGCTGTTAGTTGTATGTGGCTATTTAAGTTGAAATTAATTTAAATTAAAATTGAAATACAATTCCTCAGGCACAGTAGCCACTTTTCAATTGCTCACTAGCCTTATGTGGTATGTGGCTACTTCAATGGATGGCACAAATACAGAGCATCTCCAYATCCCAGGAAGTATCACTGGATAGYGCCAGTCTAGAATTTTGCAGCACATGAATGAAACCACAGTGGCATAGTGGTTAAGAATATGGTCTKCGGGGTCAAACCAGGACTGGGATCCCAGCTTCACCACTGACCTCCCCAGCTTTATATTCATGGTGATTACTTAGCCTTTCTCAGCCACAACTTTCTCCTCTGTAAAGAGGATAATAATAATGCCTGTCTCTGAGGATTACAATGTGAATTAAAGGAGTTGACTGAGTAATATGCAGTCAGTATAGTGGCTTCTGCCATCATTATTATCATTTTTGTTATAATTATCATCATCATCATCATCATCACCATCATTGTTGGCAGGTGGGGTGTTCAGACCATCCAGACAGACATTCATAGTTATTAAGTTTTGAAATGTTCTATTATACAGGGTTTCAAAGGCTAGGCTGTTTTCCTTGTATATATCCCTTCCCTCTATAGTGCTAGTCACCATATCCCCAAGAATGCATTATAAATCATCCAAGRGTCTGGATTTGGGGTGCTGCTCTGCCCCACAACCAATACTGATGACTGGAGAAGTAGAAGTGTAACTGTAAGAGAGTAGAAAAGTACAGACTTTTCTGCTATATCCAGGAATACTGGAGGCATGAGATAGAGGAGAGGAATGGGAAGTCAAGCCCTTACTAACAGTGACTACAAGATAGTTGCYGTGCTCCTGCTGAGAGGAGCTGATTGACTGCTCCAGGAGGTATTTGCCTAGATATTTCCACCAAGAAGCTCATTATTCTGAAGGCTTTTATTGCCAGCTGAGTCCTGAAGTACAATCGGAAGCACCAGCCCATGGCCAAATCATTAAGACAAATTAAGACATATTAACATATGCTGGAAACAATTACCCACATAGATTTAATTTGTTTCACTGCTGGAAGAAAGTCCTGAGAGGGTACCAAACACATACCAGGGAATGGTTCCATAACTACCCTGTGAATCTGTCACTTATCAGCCCTTTAGGGGCTGGAACATGCTTAAATTGGACATCTACCAAAGAAGGACAGTATATCTGAAAATACATCCTACATGAAGKCAGGATTACAGGTGCTTCTGTAGTTTACATAGGATTGTGTTAAAGTGATGAGTTTCTTGTTTCTTTTTAACCTACCCTTATTTTTGTAAATAATTATAATTGTCAAAATAATAGACTGAGGGGCTGGGGTTGTGGCTTAGTGGTAGAGTGCTYGCCTAGCAAGCCCCAGGCTCTGGGTTCAATCCTTAGCRCCACATAAATGTAAAATGAAGATATTGAGAATAAATATTTTAAAAAAAATAATAGACTGAGCTCTAAAATGAAAAAGGCACATTTTATAATCATACAGTATTAAAAAATCATAAAATAACAAACACATTTACATTATTGTTTGCTGTTTATTAGAGAAATCTAAATTAAAAATGAGATTGTTGGTTCTTTTTGTGAATTGTGGCCTTCAGCTTATTATTGTTGTTCTTTGCATAAGTGTCATTTTTCAATGCCTTAYTGTCAGGAAAGAAGTTCCCCTCAGCACACCAAATTCCATTTTTCCCAGACAAGGAGAATAGACTCTATCATCAAGGATATTCTAGGATGTGACTCTTGTAACATGCCTGTCATTTGTGATTGCACAACCTTGTCCTGGAGGTTGCTGAATGGCCCTTTAACAACTTCCTGGGTAGCTGCTAAAGAGGCCAGGGCTCCCTCTCTCAAAATATTAACTTCCAGAAGAGTAATCAAGCCCAAGGAATAGGGTGTGTAAAGKGAGAAATGACTTAGATCTKYMATSATRRCGGTGATACTGTCCTTGCAGGTTTTTCCTAACTGTCACRTATGTACCATTACATGTGAGGAGCATAATCCCCCAGTCACTTAAAAGAAAGGGTAAGCCTTTTATAGTGGGAGGGGAAACCATAAAACTGCCTGAGCATCCTGTTAGCCATACAGGTTTACTACCTTTCCCTGGGGATTGCCTTGTGACARCCTCTTCTTTTTTCCTGTTACCCTGTACTTAGGGCTTTGCAAACAGTTATAGGAAAACTCATAAGTGTTGAAAATGCAAAATAACTTTCTGTGATGATAATTTGACTCAAAAACATGATCTTCATTTTAGAACTTATATAGGTTAAAGTCTGAAATCTTAAATGACRGCTTGCTTTGGTTGTTTCTCAATTTTTCCCATCCCCCTCATARAAGTCCATTTAGAGAGCATCATTTGACTTCATTTATACAAGCATTTTTATTTATTTATTTTTATGTGGTGCTGAGGATTGAACCCAGTGCCTCAAAGATGCTAGGCAAGTGYTCTACTACTGAGCCACAACTCCAGCTTTACAAGCATTTTTGATGGAGGGCAGAGATATATGCCTTCCACCTCTAATATAGCTGTCCTTGGCATTCCAGAAATCCCCCCTTAAATTTAGGCAACACTCCTCTTGGTATCCCAAGACTATTTGAAACTAGATCCAATGATGTGGCCATAAGTCTCTTAAATCACCTGTGCCTTTGGAAACAGAACCTGTGCCTTTTTCAAACAGAAATTTTAAGGCATCTCATAAAGTTGCTCAACTAGAAGCAATTTTAAAATCATGAAAAGAGGAAGGAAATATGTTAGGAAGGATGGATAATGAAATTACCAAGAATTATTATTGAATCAGGTTCTGAGACAATCTAAAGATCTAGCAATAAGTGAATGATGATTTTTTTTACATTAGGATCCAGGGAGATTATGTAGCCATTAAAATTATCAGTAGGGTAAGTTTGTAACAATGAGAGAGAATGCTTATAATACAAAAGTAAGAAGACAGTGGGTTAAAAACATCAAGGAAAAAAATATTGGAGAAAAATTCACTGGCTTATTAACTGTGGTTGGTTAGATAAAGTCTTTTATTTTMATCTTTATTTTTGTTCTAGTTAATTGTAATGAATATGCAWTCCTTTTATAATCACACATAAATGTTACTTTTTCACTTGACTGAGCTTCCTGACAGAAAAGACAGCGGGAAAACAATCATGACACCCATGATTCTTATTAAGCGATAAAGAGAGTACTGTCTCAGTTCTTCAAGATAAATTGTTACCTTAGTACGGAATTCCAGRAAAGTTTTATCAGTTTATCATAAAGGATATTGAGTGACATAATATGCAAATCCTGGTAAGGTTCTTAGAGCACTTGCAGAAGAGATACTCCTTGTAATTGCTTCATGACTGCCCTCAAGAACAACAGARACCAAAGCTGTTAGCCTGCCCAGGGTCTCTATTAATTTTTAGCTTGGGAATTTTTAAGTGCTTCATTTGCCCATTGTGCCTTATCCAAACTGACTGTGTGARATGGGCCTCTCAGCTCCTCATTTCACACCCTAAGAATTGAATCACCCACCAATCCTGGAATTCTGTCTTTTTTAGGGGGTGGGGGGTGTTACTGGGGATTGAACTCAGGAGCACTCAACCACTGAGCTACATGGCCAGCCCTATTTTGTAATTTATTTAGARACAGGGTCTCACTGAGTTGTTTAGCACCTCACCTTTTGCTGAGGCTGACTTTGAACTCATGATCCTTCTGTCTCAGCCTCCGGAGTTGCTGAGATTATAGGCCCAGCTGGAATTCTGTCTTTTAAAAATGAATGAATTTGACCWTTCCCTCCTCTCCTTCCAGGTGTTGCTGCACTGGACTCCAGTGTATCTGGAAAAATTGGAYTGCGTGCTGTAGTATATTATTTCTGTACCACCATCATTGCTGTAATTCTAGGTAATATTTATTTCTGAATCCTTATTCCCCTATACAATTGTGACTTTTCATCCAAAAAGTAGTTGGAGTGTTAAAAATGAAGATTATTTTAAATCAGAAAGTAATATGTCAAACTACCCTGGAACTTTTTGCTTTGAAGTCTACATTGCACCTGTTATGTGAAGGCAATGCAATGCTGACATAATTTTAAACATGGTACTGCTTATTAGAGTCTCTACTAAGAAAAAGGAAATGGATGACAGTTCCATACCTTATCAGAGTCATTGGTTGAAGAAAGTGAAGCCARGAGTTTATGTAATCTTAAACTGGATAATTAATCTATAATAGTGGCACTGAGTATAATGATACATATTTCCAGAAAGGTAGGATTTCAGTGCATTTCACATTTTACCAAATGCTAACAGCTAACAGTATTGCTAAGTACACTTGTACGAGGAAGAAAGAGAAAGTTTTAATAAAGGAAGAGCTATTCTTATAGCTTCAAGATCTTTTGTGACCCAGCATGACATTTTAAGAAGGGTGCCCAGAGTKGGAAGAAAGGAAGGAAATGTTCTCAGATGTTGCAGCCAGCCTGATCCTTGCAGCCCTCATTCAGTGAATGGGTAAGAGGTGGGATATGGTGAAGTTTTAGTGGTATTAGGCTGAGGGGCTTAGGAGGGCCTGAGCCCAGCCCTAAACCAAAGTTGTATCTCTTTAAGGGGATCCAGCACAAAGAAAAAATAGCAGAGAAAAAGCAAGATATTGCCTTATAATTAACTGAGTATATATCCCTTCTGCAGCCCTGACAGGGGAAAGTGGGCCATAAAGAAAAGATCCACAGCCCTCTTATTGCCCAGCGACTGGTCCTACAAGCAAAACTGACCCATTCTRCACTCCAAAGTCCCCTTAGTACTTCCTCCTCTTGGGAAAGGAGCAAGAAAGGCATGGAAATAYCTTTTCTTCCTCTCTTTTAGTCAAACATCCCTCAATGCCTTGGCCTCTTCTACAACCTCCCATTTCTGCTAGACACTTTGAGAGACAGAAACCCATTATTTCCAGAGRTCACAATGGTGCTTTTAGATGACCTAGCATGCAGACAGGTCTTCCTTACAGCATGAAGCACCTTCCCTCCCTGCAGTTCCTGTCTATCTATTCTCCATCCCACCCCTGAAGGACACTCGCCCACAATACAGCATTCTAGCTCTTCCAAGGCCTTTGGTAAAGAAKATAGACAAGACAAAGCTTGTTCTGTAAGACCTGCAGAATGACCAGCATCTGTGGGCTAAATTACAAAAGATATCAACAGGTTCCCTGCACTAGGAAATGAAGTACTTTCACCCGCACACCTGCCTAGGTTGATCTCATGAATTGAAGAAAAGAAAAGAATTCTCATCAATGGGTATTTCCAGAAGCAATTCTTAGATGGTTAAGGGGGTGGGGGGGGGGGCGCAGAATTCCTTCTGCTTGTGAATTTCAATGGGGAAGTAATTAAGGAAGCCACGAAAGTCTCAGCATTTGGTTAATTTCAGGTCTCCTCATTACAGTGTGAGAAGAATGCACCAGGATGCCAAATGTTCTGGAAGGTTCTTTATTTTTTATTTTCACATTTTTGGTACCAGGGATTAAACCCAGAGGCACTTAACCACTGAGCTACATCCCCAGCCCTTTTTATTTTTTATTTTGACACAGGGTCTGACTTAAGTTGCTTTGGGACTTGTTAAGTTCCTGAGGCAGGCTTTGAACTTTTGATCCTCCTGCCTCTGCTTCTCAAGTTACAGGAATTACAGGCGTATGCCACCACACATGGCCCGGAAGTTTCTTAATGCACTGTGGATACTGTCCTTGATCATAGGTATTGTGCTGGTGGTGAGCATCAAGCCTGGTGTCACTCAGAAGGTGTCTGAAATCGACAGGATGGGGAGCACCCCGGAAGTCAGCACAGTAGATGCCATGTTAGACCTGATCAGGTGAGAGTCTTAGCTTCCTGGTTGTGCCAGCTGTGTAGTTACAGGAGGCCAAGGCCATGTGCATGCTTTAATGYTCTTCTATCTTGACATTTTTGGTAATTTTTAAAATTATTATGCATCTTCATTTTACCTTGGACCCYACAAATTACATGGCAAGTAATTACTACTTGCTGGTCATGGTTCCAAGAGGATTAGAAGCAACAGTGTCCTCTGTAATGATTTAGGATGGACAGAGATGCAGAAAGTATCTTTATTGAATAAAGATGTCAGACTGGGTTGTATGGTCAGTCCGTAGCACTCTTGGAGATACACATTGTTTTTAATTGTAGGGAGAAAACCTCACACTTGGAAAAATACATTTTTTTAACTGTACAGGAAAAATCCTCTTATCTAAAACAGAACCAGAAATAGGTTTGTCGACTTAAAGTAGCAATTAAATCAGAGACTCACAAAAGGTGTTCTAGGAGAGCTGGGTGTGACACTGTGATAAAAGTATTTGTCTAGCATGCACAAGGCCATGGGTTCAATCCCCAGCAACATCCCCACACACACACACACACAAAAAAAAAAAAGTTATAGGAGCTGTATTACATATTTTTTCCTACCTAAAAATTAAAAGCATTTATTCACCAATTTTTTTGATGTAGGGTCACAGTCTTTGTTTCAATGTATCACTTCATTGTATTTTCATAATTTCTGTTGCATATGGTTCCCTTATAAATGCATCTTTTACAATTTCCAGGTTGAGTTTCTGTAGAGTGAAGCAACCCAAACCCTTCAAAATTGCAAAGAAAGTCAAGTGCCAAATYCTTCCACTTTTTCTTTTTATTTAAGTTGTCTCCTCATATCAAATTTAATAGTGAAAATTTTAGTCATTGGCCTCTATTGAGATTCCAGGCATTCAGCTTGGTTTTTAATATAAACCACGCTGTCTTTTTCACAACCATATTTCAATGCTTTAACATTTAATTCAATAATTACAATAATATTTGCAATTGGCATAAAGAATTTGGGAACAGATTATTAGTAGAAATATTGTCTCATGTATGAAAACTGAAATGTGCAGAAAATTAAAGAATTGTCTCTCAACTGTAAGTGTCTACCTGCCAGCTTTTCMCTGGGCTCAGCAACTGTAGTTACTCAGTGAACTGGTTAAGTGATTAGGAGAACATTCTATACTCAGTTAAGGCTCGGCAAACAAGAAAGAAATCTTATTACAAGGAAGTGTTTTTCAAAAGAGAGGCCAGAGGAGAAATCAGAGTACTCATTCTATATTACACTCATTTTTTATCAATGTATTTGAGTATGATAAAAAAATCCACTTATAGTATCATCCTATAATACTGCTTTTCATGTCTCCAACAGGAATATGTTCCCTGAGAACCTTGTCCAAGCCTGTTTTGAGCAGGTAATATTAATGACTTTTACCCTTGAGTTTCTCTCTTCTTCCCATTACCAGTTAAGATATTTTTTTTTCCTTCTATGACCCAAGAAATGGAAGTAATCCCATCAAACCTGGCAGTGGGCAGTGCACCTGTGAATGAAGAGTTTCAGTGGCTTTTCTGTTTTGTACCCTGATTTCAAACCAACAGTCAAATGCATGTCATAATTTACACTGCTTCCTTTTCCCACATGCAGTTTCCCTCAAAAGGGCTCAAATGGAGCAATTAGTAATCTGTCAAACAGTGAGTGGCTTAAAATGTGGCCTTCAGTACCTATTCTGCAGAACCATGTTACTTTTGTAAAGAAATTTGGACTGTCTGTTGATGCAGTGCAATGGTTAGAAAAAGAGCTTTCTATCTCCTCTTTCTTGCTGCTCTGGTGTTGGCAATCTGTATCTAACACACATGACATAGCTAGMATTCCTGAGATTATKTCTTTYCTTTAACCATTATATGYCCATTGCCCATACTCTGAAGAGCAATGTAACAAAGCAATAGGGTTTTTTTCCCCCTCTAGGAAAGTTTGACATCTCTTCACTCCACGGACAAGTCTTTTTCTTYCATTTGTCAAGACAGCTGAGTCTATCACAAACTGCTGTATTCATTTACATAAATTACATGAACAGAAACTTCTGTGTATACCAACAAAAATGGCAATTATACTGCTCCCTGCCAACCTCCATGGGGCACAGAACCACCTCTATTTCAGGGGTGCCTTTGCAGATCAGCCACAGTGGTCATTTGTAAGGTTCTCAGTGTTGGCAGAGCCCTGTAGGAGGGACATTTGCGCCTGGTGTAATAATATACTAGCTCTTTCTTAAACCTCTGTGTCAAAGCTCCACAGATCCAAACAGAACTGAAGGAAACAGAAATCTCACTCACTGAATAGCCCTAAAGGGACTGTTGATTTGGATGCAACCATCTTGTTAAAAMTTTCTGGATATTTATTAAAGTCCTAGGGACTACTTTTACCAAAGTGATGAGGTATTTTTTTCCAATTAAAAAAAATTAATTAATAAAAGCAAAAGTGATAGGAATCCCTATTGGGTCTTTCTGTGAAAGTGCCTGTGGAGAAAACATCCTTTCTTTCACATTATTTCTCCATTGACTTTGTCCTTATTATGAAAGTGAAAGAACGTTCTGACATTATTGAATGGTGGTTGTGGGAGTCAGGGATTTGGATTTCTCAATCYATTTTTAGTTATAAAACCTCATGGGTGGTTTTATCAAAAACTAGAAGCAACAGAAGCACTGAAGGTAGAACTCTTAGGAGGTACTTGTTTGGCAAAAATAACTTATTCCTATGGTGTAGCATCAAAGATGCTAAAAAAATCGTATTTGTTTGCTTGTCTTTGTTTTTCTCCAATATGCAGTACAAAACCAAGCGTGAAGAAGTAAAGCCCCCCAGTGATCCCCGGAGGAACATGACAGAGGAGCCTGTCACCACCATGATGTCCACAGTTTCCGAGGTACCATCCATTCTGTCACCTGCTTTTTTCCCCCAGTAGGCAGATGCCACTCATGAGTGAGCAGAAGATGAAAGATAGTCTTTGTTATTCACAGAATCCACATTTGTGAATTCTCCTTCTTGCAAACTTACTTGTGACCCCCAAATCAATATTCATGGCACATTTATAGTCATTGGCAAAAAGCAGCACAAAATTTGAGTTGCCCACTGTGCATGTTCCCAGGTGAGGCTGGACTAGGCTGGACCTGCCTACTTTTGGCTCCCACTCTGTAAGCAAACGACTATCTTGTGATGCATTTAGTGTCATTTTTTCCCCATTTTTGTGCTTTTTCATGKTGGTTTCACTATTTAATGTGAACAGAAACAAAGTACTAACGTACTCTTTAAGGTTCCTGTGATATGCCTTAAGGAGAAAATATGTTTGTTAAAGAATCTTCATTCAGGCAGGAGTAATAGTGCTGTTGGTCATGAGTTCCATGTCAGTGAATCAGCAGTATATATTAAATGAGATGTTTTTAAGCAGAAACCCGCATAAAAGTGTCACCTATTGATTGTTTGATGTGACTAGTAGCAATCGTTCAGCATTTGCTAACTCAGTATGTTGGTGGGTGGGGGGGAACTATACTACATAAAAACGAGTAAGAACAATGGAAAAGAATGAGGCTTGTTGCCACTGAATTTTTGCCACTTTTTACAATTGGGTACCTTGAGGACTGATTTAGTTTTACAAAGCTATATAAACACAGAATACAGGCCCACAGTTCCATGTCCAAATCTTTCTGCCCAGAAATGATTCTAATTCCAAAGCTCTTAAGACTTCAGAAGGATCATACAATATATACACTGTGCAATAAGTAACATCTGTAAGTGAGATTGCAGCAACACTCCAGAGAATCAAACATCATCAATATTTCTGTWACAAACACGTGGATACTCTGTAAAGTTAGAGAAACAGATTATCAGTAGCCTCATCTCTGTTCAGAATAAGTTTTGTCACCCAAAGAGTTTTCCATAAACTTACCAATAAGATCAATGGACTTTAAGATCTTTAGGGATTTCAGAACTGGAATGTATGGTCCTGAATTGATACCTTTGTAGGCCTCTAATAGACATCTCCTGAATGTCCTCTGCCTTCACGTAAAAAGGAAATATTTAAGGAAAAGAGAAATATTCCATATATTTAAGAATTCAAATTAAATAGACAACAGACAGCTCCTTGCTTCCTGCTTCAGAAAGCCTTAGCTTCTTGGGCTTTGGGTAGAGGGCCTCCATGACCTGACTTCTCTTGAGTCTTCCCAACAGCCCCCTCTCTTCTATCCAGATCTGCCTCCTCACTCACCCCTTATTCCTGCCTTTTGATGTGCTTCCAAAGTATTTTTCTGAGCACCTTCCATACGCCAGGCCCTGCTGGGCCCTGGGATTATAATAGTAAAAAGACAGATACTGCATCTGTCCTCATGTGAAGAGTAATGGATATTACAATGGAGAAGAACTGGGTCTTTTAGAGCCATCCAACAGAGAGGTAAAGTTAGGGTGGCAGCCATAGGAACAGATATGTAAGAATTATTATCCAAGCAAGTTACAGAGGCCCATATGCCATGATTTTTGCCTTTGTGTACCATTTTTCTGGAACATACCTTGTCTCCTGGCTGTCTATTCCTCAAACTTAGCTTTCCCTAACCTCAAAGTCCTCATTCATGTCCCAGTCTCTGTGTGATGCTTGTAACTCWTAGCTTGGCTGTGTCATTAATTACACACCATTTTGCTATTGGCTCATGTTTCTCACAGCTGGTCTCATCTTTCCAGCTGAATTTTAAGACCTTGCGCTATAGCCAATACAGTTAGAACACTCTTGCTGCTCCATAAATATTTGTTTCATCATAAATAAGAAATGACTGATACCCCAGTGGCTTGTTAACCTAATTCTTTATCACCCTGGTTTGCACCAGTCAGATTATATTTTCTCTCAGTGAATCTCAGGCTATTTTTACTCAGGATAAATTAAAGAAATGGCTCATTGTAGTAGGTATTTGGCTAATTTTATATCTATCTCTAAAATCTTGTTGGTCATACAAGAACAGAGGCAGTGAAAAATGTTCCTGTGCTTCATTTATCCCTTCATTATCAGGATAAAACAGATGGTAGTTTGTGCTTCCTGTGTTATTAAGTCCGGTCTTTCTTTAAAAACGACCTCCAAATGCTGCTAGTAGTTTAAATAACCCTGAAAAGTGCCCTGATTCTAAAATTTATAATAAAAATGGAAAAAAATTTAGAATTATAAATCTTCAAAAGAAAGATTCAAATATGGACTTGTTAAGAAAAGGGGAGCGGTGCTGGGACTGTAGCTCAGTGGTAGAGCGCCCACCCCACACATGTGAGGCACTGGGTTTTATCCTCAGCACCACATAAAAAAATAAATAAATAAAAGACAAAGCTATATATTCAGGCTTTAGTATTAAAAAAAAGAAAAAGAAAAGAGGGGACTTTAAATTTCAATGGGGGGGATTTGATACTTGCAYAAGGTTTTTAATAATTATTATATTTCCTAAAGTATTATTGACTCTAATAGATCACTGTGATTATCATCATGTATCAATATATTTTCTTTGTTTTGATCCACAGAACAAAACAAAGGAATACAGAATCGTGGGCATGTATTCAGATGGCATTAATGTTCTAGGCTTGATTATTTTTTGCCTCGTTTTCGGACTGGTCATTGGAAAAATGGGAGAAAAGGGACAGATTCTGGTGGATTTCTTCAACGCCTTGAGTGACGCAACCATGAAAATTGTTCAGATCATTATGTGGTGAGCAGACACTATTTGAGACCATTTTGCTTCCCCTAAAGACTCTGTATCCTCAACATTAGAAAGATGAGGCTTATGTTCCTCAACTGATCTCCTCCTGGAGATGGAGACATTAGAAATCAAGACACTGGAGTATGAAATAGCTCCATATACTTCTCAGTAGGTAGTTCATTAATAAATGTCTAGCTATCAGCCGCTGTCTTTTCCCTCAAAGTCCTGGCAGGTCATCTTGCACCCAAACAACACTCAGGTCAGAAGTGCTCCTAAAGGGATGATCTGGAAGAGCTCCTCACAGATCAGAACAGAGAGTGCTTTCCTTCTTAGACCCCATGCAGAAGTGAGGTTCAAAATATCAAAAATGCTACAGCAGGGCCACTAGCTCACTCAAAGGAAAACTGCCATGTGAGCATCCCAGAGACACCACCTAAGTATCCGCCCTGTCACTGAGATGCCAGAAAGTCCACATTTCCTGGGAGATCTCTGCCTCACGTATCTCACATGGAATTGGTTCAACATTATTTAACCSAAAAGGACATTGACAGTGATGTAAAGTGTTCAGTAATAACAGACAGGCAAGCCACTTAATCCTGTAAAACCCTCAGCTTTATTATCTGTTAAAAAAAAAAGTAATAAAACCTAATCCCAGGGTTGGAAGAACATTAAGTGAGATGATGCATGTAAAATACTTTCCCCAACACAAGATCTAATGAGAGCTCCACAAATAGACATATGGTGACCACTTTCACTGTTATTACTGTTGCTTCAATTGCTGGCACCTGAGAAATGAGATGCCATGGCTAGAAAGAGCTTAGCATCCTTATTTTGTAGGGATGAGTGGAGCTCAAATGAGCTAAGCAGATGTGACAATCAGTAGGATGTGGGGGTGTATATGGTATGGGGTATGCACCAATCTCACTGCATATTTATGTCATATTTGCAAAATACCCTTGTAGAGTTTGGGTGGGTAGAGTGCAAGGTGCTTGCTTGCAGGTACTGGAAACTAGAGCCATTAGTCTGCCCAGGACTCGAAGATGAGCGCTTGCTGTCCTGCAACCATGTCTTCTGTACTTCCAGTTGCAAGCTGGGGTGCATGCACTGGCTTGTTTCCTCCCCAATAATCCCAGCCTGAGCAAACCCCAGTGATGGAATTGGGTCTTTGTTGTGCTTACTTTCTAGTTACATGCCACTTGGTATTTTGTTCCTGATTGCTGGGAAGATCATAGAAGTTGAAGACTGGGAAATATTCCGCAAGCTGGGTCTTTACATGGCTACTGTCCTAAGTGGGTACGTCTGATTCAAGAGAAAAAAAAAAAAAAACAGAACCTTCAACTGGGTTCAATAAGATTGCTGCAGAGAGACTGGGGTTTGGTCGGTTAAGGTCGGCTTCTCTCATAAGTACAGGAAAAGATAGTTTAGAGATAAGAGAGCAGTGAGCAGGGCTGCCCTTTAACAGCTGTACTGTAGGTGGATCACACTGTGCTAATTGCCAGCTTTTGGCAGAACAGCCTGGACCAGGCTTTACCACTGCCTTTATTGGTTGTGTTTAAATCATTTTTAAAACAAGAGAGAAACCCACTCGTAGCCTCTTTTGGCTGTCTCCTGCCCTTTACTTTCTCAAGAACATAAACTAACCGAGCAGGTAGGAATTGCCCCCCACATACCCTGAAGTGGAAAGAAATKAAGAAGGGCCTAAATGAAATTAAATCAGAGCAAGTAGGAGCAGGAGAACAGGTTGGTTCAAATGCTGTCACTGAGGCTGGTAGCTACTCCCTGCCCTGAGTCCTCAGTGTGTTGGGGATGGTGATGGGGAAATCGTCAGGCTAGTTGGAATCATGGGGCTTTTTAGAAGCCACAAATAGGAAGGGAGTGGGGATATTGGTATGGTTCCTTGAGAAGAAATGCAGTGGGATAGATTACAGAGGGTGCCCCCAGACACCCATCCAAGAGCAAGATACTTCATATATGCTAAAACATATGGAGCAAGGGAATGAGGAAACGACATTGATTTGACTCTCACAGGTCAAACACCCAACTTGAGGAATTGGCTCACCTTTTGGAACTCAATTGCCTTGGGGTTTCCATTGCATAGCTTTTGGTTCTTAATCTGTGTTTGCCAAAAGCACAGCCCTGTCAGCTAACACAGAAGCAGCCTGGGTTCCTATAGTGTGGGGATCAGCGTCAAATCTCCAGGCCACAGAGGTCAGGGAGGCAGGGCCTTGGCCTCACTAGAGGCCAGCCTTGCTCTGGGACCACTGAAACATGCAGGACCAGGATCAAAGTCTTGGCAGTGATGTGACTGAGGCTTGTGACACTAAGCCGTTTCTTAATGGAGTTATGCTGGTTTCTTTTCTCTTGCCTTCTCTAGGCTTCTAACAGAAAACTAAAAGTTCTAGCTAAGAATTCACAGTTCTTAGGTACAAGCTCTGTATTGAGAAGGCCCTCTCTCCAAACTTCCAGGATTGGTATTTGCAGTGCCCATTTCTTATCATTTCAACCTTGTATAACTGATCTGTAAATTCTTAGGTTGCCACTTACACATGCATGCCATCCATCAAATGAGTCTCATTTCTTAAGCCCCCTATTTTGGGTACGCTATTTATTTCCTTGTAAAATAAGGTACAATTTGAGAAGTTGTTCCATTTAGGCCCTTCTTAATTTCTTTCCACTTCAGGCCCTTCTTAATTTCTTTCCACCTGCAGGGCCCAGGGGACAGAGAAGGTAAAGACTGTGACAAGGGCTATAATGAGGTATCACGGTAGGGGATAAAGAGAGTGCCAAGTAAGAAAGGGTAAGCTCTTCCTGGGAAAGTAACTGAATGTTTCCTGAAGGAGGGGGAAATTTAGCTGAGTCTTAGAGAAGTCATCATTCAAAACCAGGAATCACACAGACAGGAGCATTTCAGCACGATATAATTCTGTTCTGTGAGCTCTGAAATTTATATTCGGCTACTGAATTTGTCATTAACTTTGACCAGATGCTTCATTTACTGAATAGGCCCCTACATCCTCATCTGCAGCATGGGAACATATATTTCCTCGGCAACTTCTCATTTTCTCATTGGGTCTTTAGGAAAGCTGAACAACGTCATACTTTTTAAAAACTGTTTGAAGAAAGAGTGAAGTATGAAACTTTTCCCTCTTGTTTACAGGCTTGCCATCCACTCCATTGTAATTCTCCCACTGATATATTTCATAGTCGTCCGGAAGAACCCTTTCCGATTTGCCATGGGCATGGCCCAGGCTCTCCTGACAGCTCTCATGATCTCTTCCAGGTAACTATAAGAGGTTTCTGGAAGAAGCCTCAGGCCACCCTTTGTCAGCTCAACCCTCACTTGATGGTACAGACTCCAGCCTGTGTTTTTTGTACCTACCTTTGAATTGAGAGTTGACTTTCATGTTCTCTGCCCCATCCTCAGCATATTTCTTCCCACTATTGAATATCTCCTGCCCTCAGCATGGCCTGCAGCCAGGGAGGATCATCACCTTCTGATCCCTGAACTGGCCACAAGTATCAACGTGTTTGGGGTCCCTTGTTTACTTTTGTGGAAGGGATGTGTCTTTTCAGGTGGGGATTGAGTACCACCATCCTTAGACCATAAGTTCTTTTCTCTCTATATCACACAGTTCAGCCACACTGCCCGTCACCTTCCGCTGTGCCGAAGAAAAAAACCAGGTGGACAAGAGGATCACTAGATTTGTGTTGCCCGTTGGTGCCACAATCAACATGGATGGGACTGCACTCTATGAAGCAGTGGCCGCTGTGTTTATTGCGCAGTTGAATGACTTAGACTTGGGCATTGGACAGATCATCACTATCAGGTGGGGCCTGGTGTCACTCTTTTGAATCACTGTTATAGGAATTGCCTCAAGTAAAATGGTCTAAGAAGGGAGATCAAGAATGGCCCAGTGAAGTTTTTTCTTGGCCTACCCAAGTTTCTTCCAAGATGAAATATGAGTAGTGGACTTGTGGTCTACAAGATTTCTGTTTCAGGGTCTGGCTATCCAGAGCATCACTCTGTGCTCAGTTCAGAGTAGGCACAGAGAGGGCACCAAAGACTCAAGGTTGAATAAAGTCTAGTCCCTGCTTTCTAAGGGCCCTTGGTGGATGGGGAATAGGTAACCAAGTGAGTGCTGATATCTGTGATAGCAGCTATCTAGAACTTGCTGTGGTGGTCACAGAGGGTACCAAAGAAAGAAGGATCAGCTCTACCTGGGAAGGTGGGGGAAGGCTTCCTGGAAGAGGGGGAAATGTAGCTGAATATGAGATGAGGAGTAAGAATCTAGGTGAAGAAAGACACTTTAGAGCTTTGGGTAGCAAAAATAGTTTATTCAGGGATTATGATATAGCCATGACCTAGTTACAGACTACAGATTATTTGGTGTGGTTGACATAAGGAGTATAACATGAAAAACATGAAAGGATGAGGAGAGAGGGGTCATCTGATGAAAGGCTTTGTATGGGATGCTCATAGAAGGGTCTTAGATTGTTTATAATATTATGAACAGATTTGCATTTTAGATAGGTAACTGGCAATGCAGTGGGTGGATTGAATGGAGACAGGGACCCCAAGCTAGAAGACCAGTCAGAGGCCATTTGGAATGGTCTAGGTAAGGTCTTAAAAAGCCTACAACAAGGCACTGAGTACACTGGGGATGGAAAAGAGCTAATAAATTGAAGAGTTATCAATTGGATTCAGAGGGAGGAACAGAGGAAGACTAGTATGACTCCCAGGTTTGATGGATGGTTCTGGATTGATGGATGGGGCTTATCATAACAGGGACTAGCATGAGAGAAACAAGAATAAGGAGAAAATAAAGAGTTTATATTTTTGACACATTGAATTTGAAAGCCTTTAAGATTTTCAGGAAATATACAGTGAGAAATGCAGGTCTGGATTGAGAAATGGAAGTCAGGGCCATCGTCTTAATGGTGGTCATCAAACAAGTAGGTCACAGGTCAGGTGTCTGTTCAAATCTCAGCGACACTATGATTAGTTGTGACCTCAGGCAAAAGACTTGATTTCTCTAAGCTTTCTTGTTTTCTCACCTGTAAAATGATAATAATAGTGCCTACAATTTATTCAAGTAGTAATGATGAAGTAGGATGACGCATATAAAATGCTTAGTGCCTACACAGGGAGCACATAAATGTTAGGAATGGAAGGCATTGCATAGGGAGAGTTTATAGAGAAGACAATTAGGGCTGAGCCTTGGAAAATTCTAATATTAGAGGCAGACAAAAAAAGGGAGAATTCAAGAGAGAGAGTGGGAAGGAACAGAGAGAGCCAAGAATCATGTTATCATGAAAACCCAAAGAAGATTTTTCAAGGTTGAAAATGATTCACAGAGTCAGATGCTAAAGAGAATTCTCACCGAATGAGGACCAAAATAGTCTGTCAGCTCAATCAGGTAGTAGAAATATCATTAGTAAATCTTGCCTGAGTTGTTTCTTTAGGACAGTACTAACCAATATGGTTGTTACCAGTCATGTGTGGCCAATGGCTGACTGAATTAAATAGCACAGCTGTATTACAATTCCATCACTGCCAAAAGTTCTTTTGGACAGCACTATGTCGGAACGGAGCGACAGGCTTGGATTAGAGGTAACCATTTAGTTCAGTTTGTAATATGAAACTTAATCCCTAGGCCCACTCAGGATTGACTCTTAACCTTTTAGAGTTAATTAACTGTTGTGTCCACAGCATAGACATAAATTCTGGGGATAAGGAGTTCATTAACTGACAATGTTCTAATATAGTACATTTTTAAAAACCCCTTCTTCAACCCTATAAACTATTGCTATTTGCCTGAAATTCACTGAAAACAAGTGCAAAATGTATCATTTGGAGGGGCTTGGATTGTGGCTCAGTGGTAGAGTGCTCTCCTAGCACAGGTGAGGCACTGGGTTTGATCCTCAGCACCACATAAAATAAATAAACAAAAATAAAGGCATCGTGTCCACCTACAACTAAAAAAATACTAAAATATATATATCATTTAGCACATCACCTGGTGGGAGTAGGAGGTAGTATACAAATGCTGCATAATCTATGAAGTGTGAGTGGCTAAATAAGCCTGTGCCAGGGGCTGAGGTTGTAGCTCAGTGGTGGAGTGCTTGTCTAGCACATGTGAAGGCCATCTTAAACTAAAAAAAAAAAAAAAAATTAAAAAAAGAAGGCTGTGCCAAAAGAGCTTCAGTAAAGTCCTGTACTTACAACAGCAGAGACTGTGTTAAATTAAGACCTTCAATCATGCTGGAGAAAGTTCCTGCTCTACACCTGCCCCCTGTGCTTCAGCAGTTGCTGCTTTTACATTTCCAAGTGTTTTTCCCCATCTCCCTCAGCCTGGCCTGGGGAATCAAGAGTTTGCACTAAACGGCTCCAAGGAGTAGTTGTATGAGATGGTGGCTCTCAAGTGTACTGGCCACCTTTTGATGAATCCTCTCCCTCTTCCTTAGTCATACATTTTATAGATCTTTCTAACATTTTTTTAAAACCTGACTGCTAGAGGAATCAACTGTGGGCCTAAGAAGCTAAACTAGCAAAATCACACTAAAACCTCCCTCCCTGTTCTGGCAAATCTTGCTGATAACTAGTGTCTCAGAACCATAACAACTGTGAAGTCCAAAGTAATCATTGACTTAAAAAGTCCTCTCTGGCTCTACCTGGCAAATAAAAGTTAGCTTTAACTTTATAGGTTACAGTTATAGCTCACATGGCTAATGGTTAAAAACTTTTAGACCCATACACAGTACATTTCTTTTTGTGGGATGAACATCAAATAACATAGATACCATCGTTTTGTGGTATCTTTTTAATCTAATATTCACTTATCACAGGCTATAACTGATTGAAAATAGGATAAATTATCTTATAAAAGCCGATAATTACAGGATTGGGGACCTAGAAGGGCTCAGAAGAAAAAAGTACCAATAGTAGTAGTTGTGTTTGCTATAATAGCACAGGTGGAATATCCTTTGTCAAAACTGCTTGGGAACAGAAGTGTTTGGGATTTGGGAGTTTGAAATATTTTCATATACATAACGAGATAGCTTAGGAGTAAACCAGTGTCCAAACACAAACTTCATTGAAGTTTCATGTATATCTTATAAATATTCACAGTATTTTTTTTGTGCCTGTGTTTTGACTGTGACTCCTCATATGAGATCAGGTGTGGAATTTTCTACTTGTGGCATCGTGTCAGTGATCAAATGAAGTTTCAAATCCTGGAGCATTTGGATGTTGGATTTTTCAGATTAGGGATGCTCAACCTGTGTTTTTTGCTTGTCGTCATAGTGACATTATTATTAGTGCTAGCAGTGGCAACAACAGAGGCTGAAAAATTAGCAGCAGAAATGGCATGTTATAAATCTACTATCCCATATGATTTGCCCGGATTCATCTTCAGAGCAGCATCATAATACTGTCAAGGAATTTAGATTCAGAGAAGTAACCTGCCCATGAAAACTGTGAGTAAAATGGCAGAGCCAGAAGTATAACCCAGGTGTGTCTGATTCCCAAACCTTCATTCACTACAATTCATACCCAACCTGCAATCATGTTGGACTGAGTTAAAAATGGCCTGTCCTTAAAACTAAACCTTGGTGCTAGGAAAGAACTTTGTACCTTAGAGAATGAAAGAAGTCCTCTCAGCCAAAGTAGTATATGTTCAAATAGCAGGAATAGGATTTTATATTTTTCCTGCTTATAGTTATGTATAGTTCCAAATTTCAGAACAAAGCCAGTCAGACTGCTGACGTTTAGCAAACAACACGAAGGCTCAAGGGCAGAGTTTTCTTTGGCTCAGTGGATTTTGAGTTTCCAGTCCAGGCTATAGGGACTTGGTTAACAATAACATGTTGAGGCTTCCAAGAGGGATCAGAGGGTCTGGGCATAAATCACTTCTGACAAAGAAAACCCATTGATTCATTCAATTCAACCAGCATTGAAATAAAATTGGGTTTTCCAAAGAGTACTTAGGTCAGAACAGATCTAAAGAATTATGCAAATCTGGAAACTTTTAGAGAAATTGGTACAGCCCCACAAATTGGGGGCCATAGCCACTGAGGGAATAACATAATCATCAAAAAACTCTGGACTGCATTTAACCACTCCTTCAACCCTGACAGCTTATCACTAGGCAGATGAATGGGCAGTAGAATCAGTTGCCTAAGAACTGAGACTTTAGAGCTCACTTGAATATGGGTTTGTAGATTAAATTAGGGATTCTTCTGGTTTAAATTGCAGTTCCTATATTTTTATCTTTCCACCCAGTGACTTCTTGGCAGCAGTTCATTGGCCCAAGGGCAAGACCATGTCTCCAGAAAGTGTTGTGGCTGTGCGCTCATGCTCATCCAAACCAAGGGACTTTTCAGGGCATGGTGAGCCTTGATTTCCTCCACAGTGATCCAATTAAAATATGAAAGATGCTGCTGATGAAAAACTGCACATTCTGAAGAGAAAAACCCCTATTACCACATATATTCCCAGGAGAGATCTTTTAAAATACATAGTAATAAAGTTCATTTTGCTGCCTTTTCTGGATTCCAGATCTCGCTTCTCTTGCACAAAGAGCATCCACTGGCAAAAGGAGCAGTCAGGAATAAATTCTTGTACTTTGTACAGGAGTCTTGGTCTTTCTCAATTCAGTGCCCTGAAACCTCTGAGAGACAAGAGTCTTGTGATGTCCATAAAGTGCATAAAACCTGCTTAACAATTGCTCATTCCTTTGCTGCACTCAAAATGCCTTTGTCCATCTACCCTGCCACTACCTGTACTAATCCTTCAAGGCAACTTAAATTCCTGGAACACCTTAGATATTCAGTAAATGACTGGGAAGGTGAGTGGAAGGGAGGAAGACAGCAGATGGAGAGGTACTTGGAACTTTGGGTGGATGCATRGATAGATAGATAAAACCTTCTATAAACACCCCTGTTGGTAAACTCTTGCCCTCCTCTTGGATAACTCTCAGGCTCATTTTTGCTGCCACTCAAGCAGTTCTTCTATATGTCCTTGCCATATCTCCTCCTGTCAGAACCTGGCATCATGCTTCTCTCAGTCCCCTGCAGCACTCATCCTATAATGAGGCAGAGCTGGTGCTTAACAGATAACAGATTCTGCCTGCCCAATTTCAGGGCAGAGCAGTAACACCCACGGAGACCATTTCAGACCAGGGACATTAAGGGGAGAAATTGGGTCTAACTCCTCTCTCCTGGTGTGTTTTGACTACAGCATCACAGCCACAGCTGCAAGCATCGGAGCTGCTGGTGTGCCCCAGGCTGGCCTGGTGACCATGGTGATCGTGCTAAGTGCTGTGGGCCTGCCTGCCGAGGATGTCACCCTGATCGTCGCTGTCGACTGGCTCCTGTGAGTTGGAATAAATGCTCTGCCTCAGCCAGATGAGCAGGCAGCTTCCTACCATTCACAGTCTGCAGGCTGCCATCATCCCTGCTTAGATTGCCTAATGAGCCATCTGTTGCTGCTTTAATTTCCCTCTGACCAGGCTATCTGATAACATGCTTAAAAATTAACTCCTCCTAACTTTAGTGATTTTAAAAAGCCAGTAAGCCCCATTACCTCATTATACCGGTGATACTCAAGATTAGAAGCTGGGTGTGGAAGAAGATAAACATAGGATAAAACGGTGAGGAAGCCAGGGAAAGGCCCCTGTTCATCCTGGCTTCTCCTAACCTGATTTGGCACCATGTCCTGGTTCAAAATCTGTGCATCTTATCAAGCATTTTTGGAGATGACAGGGGCAATGGTGTGAGCAAAGACTTTGGGGTAATTGGGTTTGAATCCTCATCTGATGTCTTATTAGCTTTTGAGCTTAAGCAAGTTCCCTAACCTCTCTGAGAGCCATTTGCATTATCTGTGAGACAGGAGAAATTCTGCCATTGACCCAAGTGAGTTCATGTGAATTGAGTGTCTAGAATCACATCTAATAGACAGTACATACTCAAAATATGGCAAATTTTATTGCTACAATTCAGATGAATTGGACCATTAAGGCCCCAAACAACCTCTCTCTCTCTCTTCTCTCTCTCTCTCTCTCTCTCTCTCCCCCCCCCCCACACACACAAAAAAAAAAAATACAGCAGAGCATGAGAGTGAGAATGGGCCTTCTGTGATTCCAAAGTTAAAGTTGGAACTAGCCTGGCCCTGGGTGGGACTTATCCTGGATGTCCACTTCTAGCACCTAGGTCTGGCTCCATCCCCTGACCCTCAGGGTAAGTGTAATCTCCACATTGAACCTTTAACTTAGAGCCGGTGGGGTTGACGGGGAAGTCCAGTGCTGCATGGTTTGTAGGTTGCAGGTGAGATGGAGGAAAGGAAGCAGAGACATTCTAGGTATGTCCCAAACCCTGCATCTGGCCTGGAAGCTGTCCCATACACAGTCCCCTCAACATTCACCAGGCCTTAATAAGCCAACTGAAATGGTGCCCTTCTTGCAAAAATACCATACCACTGAGGTAAGCTTTAGTTTTTCCTTCCATTGATGATGATGGATTTCCCCTCTTCTCCTTCCCCTAGTTCTTCCTGAAACCAGGCACCTTCACTGTCACGAGAGCCAGATGAACCAAAAATCCAATCTGAAGTCATGGGATAGAAAGAAACTAGGGCCATTTCAATCCCTGGCCTTGCTCTAAATAGCAGAATGGCATGCAGAGTGGATATGTGTCTACACTTTTGGCGCCTTTTCCTTCCCATGGGTATCATCTTCACAGGAATACCTATGTACCCAGTTCCTGCCATCAAAGCTCCGGTGTCAAAATGGATACTCCCCTCCCCAGGAGGCCTTGTCTTCAGACCGTCCTGCCATCAGCCTCTTCACTAGGCTGTCCAGAAGTTAGGACTGGCTGCAGTTGCCTCAAGGAGAATCCATTCCTGGGCTGACCTGTATTTTCTGAACCTGTGCTCTGCCATGTTCCTGGTAGCTTACTCATAGAACAAGATTCATTTGGTAAAGAAACAAATACACCAGGAAAGGAGAAAGTAAGAGAGAGAGAGAGAGAGAGAGAGAGAGGCATAAATTCTCTCACTTAGCCAAAAGAGAACCCATAATGTCAGTTGCATTTAATCTGGATAAATCATGAGTTTCCCTCAGTCCTCCAAACATCTCTGTGGAGACTGTATTCATATTTCTTTGGAAGAAGAAAAGAGAACTTTAGGAGATTTAGGGAAGACATTGCTACCTATTGGGAGCACAGACCCAGTGGAGCCTGTTTGTTCTTTCTGTGGCTTTAGAATACCCTTCTGCCCCAGGCCTGTGAGGCACCTCCAGCCAGCCAGCCATGAAGACAGAATTTTCTGTATTGATTTAAATCTTAACCAAACACATCAGGTCCTTTCCTTTGTCCTGTCAGTGATGAAGGAAAGTGAAATCTGAGCCCTCTGCCTGACTTTCCTGTCTCTTCCCCAGGGACCGGTTCAGGACCATGGTCAATGTCCTCGGTGATGCATTTGGGACTGGCATTGTAGAAAAGCTCTCTAAGAAGGAGCTGGAGCAGATGGATGTTTCATCGGAAGTCAACATTGTGAATCCCTTTGCCTTGGAATCCACAATACTGGATAATGAAGACTCAGATACAAAGAAATCCTATGTCAATGGAGGCTTTGCAGTGGACAAGTCCGACACTATCTCCTTCACCCAGACCTCACAGTTCTAGAGCCCTTAGCTTCAGATGACTGGAGTGATGAAGGACATCTCCATGAGAGTCATCTCTTAGCGAATTCAAACATGAAGAGAAACGCTAATGGTCAATTGTACATGTAGTTTGATAAACAGACCTCCAGATTATTTTCTATATTTGGCTTCATAGCCTTTGTTCTCTGGGTTTTGGGATTTGGGGTTGGGGTAAGATAAAAGGAAATTGATTAAAAGAAAGTTGCATTATCTGGGTTTGAAAATTTCTATAAAACAAAGTTTGGAAGTATATGAAGTAATAACTTTTTAGAATTAGGTAACAGATGTGGAAGAGAGATTGCTTTCTCATGCATAATCAGTGATTTGGGGTTTTTAAAAATTTCTGTCATTGGTTACAAATTTTTACTCAGACTTTCTATTGGCATGGATTTCCTTTGACTTCTCACTTTTTATAGATTCTAATGCATCTGAACAACCCCACCTGGTCAATGTGCCAAATTGTCCATTTTGAACTCATCTCCAGCCAGTTTCAAAGACAYTGTTTTGGAAGACAAAACAAAACAGACCAGCACAGTTCTGCAATAACAGTTTTAACTTTAACATGGGCATAGCATTTAGGGAGAAGGGTTCTTTATTCAATGTACTGTATTGGGACGCTGGTAACTGTTAACCCAGTGTTCAGTATAGAACTATATATATATATATATGTGTGTGTATATATTTATTATTTTCATATAATTTACAAGACAGAGATCAGGATTAAACTGTCAATGTGAAATAAGGAACTCTCCTTGTACTTGAATAACCACAATTCCAACCCAAGTCTGCTTCACGGCTTATCAGAACTCCTTTCTCAGGAGCACTAGAATGAGAAATCGMGTTGTTTGATCACTTCACATCTGTGTGTCAGCCCTAAAGCAGAGATGTACTATGGTGATACTCCAGGGTGGCATAGCCATTCATTTCCAATTCACAGACTTTTTGCGTTTTCTGGAGGAAATCCACACCAGCCCTCTACAAGATGATGTGCAAAGGTGTTGTTCCCAGAAGGCTAGACTTGCTTGGATCTGACTGGAAAGCTTCATCCTTCCAAGTTCACTCAYACCCACTTAAAGAGGCCAGTATTTTGCTGCCCTTGGATTTTTTTATCCATCAGGGCCCAGACAACAATGKCGAGCTACCAGCTAAGTTGTATTTTAATATAGATTCCACAGGTTGAACAAGACACATTGCCTAAAACAGCCATCCCTACCCTGGATTCTTGCAAAATCAATCCCACAACATGAATGGTTCAGGGGAAATTGTTCCATCCTCTGACACTTGTCTCCTCCTCCAACACTTGTCTCCTCCTCCAGAGAGGACTATTCTAACTAGTAATCTTGGCCCTGCTCATTAAAATTCTCTACTTGTCATTCTTCTGCTAATGAAGGAAGATAGCTTATTAGAGTCTGTACTTCAGATCCCATCTTGTAAATAATGCTTAACATGAACTTGTACTTACATGGAGATAGATCCAAAATAGTCATGTTTTGCAATATTGTGTAGCCAACCTAAACCTGTACTTTTATATTTTAGAAACCAGAGATTGTGCCAAAGATAGCAGAAAAGTAAATAGTATTGACCACCTGTACCTGAAATCTACAAGAAAATAATACTGAAATTGTCATGTAAACACCAAAGTGAAATTCAGTGTGAATTTTAAAATGCAAATATTGGTACTGTTAATAGGAATTAAATCTAAATATAAATGGAGTTGAATCAGTAATGTATTTTTGGACTGAATGGTTCTATCCTCTTATCAGGTGGCTCCAATTAGTGGCACCAGAGTTGGCAGAGCTCTTCATGAACTATGGGTCATCTTTGTTTAGGAGTTTGTAACCAGCCTCTTAACACACTGTGCTGTTAACTCATAGAAGAAACAGTGTTCCATTTCAGTCTCAATAAACATTTCCTTCATTCTTTCTTCCTGGCCTTTTCCTCCTTCCTTGTATCTGTTCGTTTATCTTACCCAGGTGGATGTGGGAAGGTGGAGATGTGGCCAGCTAAGTCAGATTGTACACAGTATATTGTTTTCAAAACCTTTAAACAACCCCAAAATGAAAAGGCCTGGCTTGAGAAAATATAACCTTCATGTGAACCAGTGAGTGTTACATAGTTGAAATTACAGTGCCATTCTGAACAGCTGTGCTCACATTTTGTGACAGAGATGTAAATAGACCTTTGTTGGAAATTAATAGGAGACAGGCTTATCTCAAGAGGATGGTGACTTGGTTTCAAGGAAGAACCAGTCCTGCCATCTGAAATATGACTAATACAACCCAGCTAAAGGCTAGGCTGAGAGTGCTCTTTGAAGGGATGGCACTGTCCTGTGTGGAACAYTTAAGTCATGATTGTGTTCTGTAGGACATGGTGGACTCATGATAAACATCAAAGGTACAGACAGAGCCTTGGGCCCCACTGAAAGAAGACAGTGTATGAATGCTTATCACTATCTGGCCAAAGGAAATCAGGAATGTTTCTTTTGATTGCATCATGCGGGGAATACCCAACAACACAAGTCCTCAGAGAGATTTGTTTGGAAGAATTGGTGTACCTGAGCAGAGGACCTCCATATGATTTTGATCTTGCCCAAAGTATACTCAGGGACAGATAATGTTTTTATTAGCTCTGGAAAGTGGCTATTTTTTTTTTCAACAAATGTTTGGAAGCCCTCTGTGTACAAGGACTTTTATTTAAAAAATACCTCTAGGGCTGGAGTTGTAGCTCAGTGGTAGASATCTTGCCTAGCATGTGTAAGGGTATAATCCTCAGTACCACATAAAATAAATAAATAAAATAAAAGGTATTGTGTCCATCTACAAAACAAAAACAAACAAAAAACACTTCTAAGAATAGCTACGGTGCATGTATTTGGTTTATAATAGAACAGTGGGCCAGCAGTGGTGTTGGCTTTACAGATGCTTAAGAATTTTCCCTGCCATAAGAGGAGACAAGCTGCTGAGGGCCATTGCCAAGTAGGAATGACGCATCAAAATTTCCTTGCCAGMGTACCCCATGTTAAATGGACTTGCCTTAGAAATTTGCTGTGACATTGCATGTGTGTTTGAGAAAGGTGACCCTGCTCAAGGACTAGGGTGGATCCAGGTTTAGGGTGTATCCTACAGGTTTTAGGAAGTATCTCTGCTCCTTGGGTTTAGGGCGTTCCCGGTTTAAGACAAATTTAGGGCGTTCCCGGTTTAAGACAATCTGGGTTTAAGGCAGTTCCAGGTTTAAGGTTATTCCTGCTGGGAATAGGGCGTATCCTGCTGCCTGAGTTCCCGTTGCGTTCTCGTGGAATTCAGAAAGTATTTGGGACGTGTATTTGGAGCGGCAGAACTTGGATTTCCCCAGAACGTGTGTAGAGGCCGGTGTGAGTTCGGGAATAAAGAATTGCTGTTTGAATCTACAAGATGTGAGTGGCTCGTGATCTGGTGCCCAGCCAGACTGCGGCAACAAGCAATGGTCCTGAGGAGGCTTGGAAGAGTGCTAGAAGATGCCATGCAACAGGATTGATTTTCTGTATTTAACTGCCCAGCAGCAAACTGTGAAACACAATGGGTAGGCATGATGCAGTTGTGATGCCATGTCACCTTTGGGACCATTGCTAATAATCTAAGACTTGATTTCTTCTTCTGTGTAATAAGAATGACAATCCTTGCCTCAGGAGATTGCTTTAAGTATTAATGAGAAAATGTATGGGATGTATTTAGCAGAGAACCTGTTAGTATCTTACCCCCTATGCCAGCCCCTGGAGAAAAAATAGCCTACACCCTTTCCCTCCTCCCCCATTTACATGGATGATCCATAGAGATATGCTGTTGTTGGATGTGTCCCCCAAACGTCCATTTGCTGAAGGTTTGTTCACCAGCCTATGGCACTTTAGGAGGTGGAGCCTTGTGGGAAGAAGTTAGGTCATTGAGAACATGCCCTTGAAGGGGATATTGACCCTGGCCCCTTCTTGTCTCTCTTTTTGCTTCCTAGCCACCATGAGGTGAGTAGCCTCCTCTGTCATGTGTTCCTGCCATTATATACCACATCACCTATCACACTCCCATTAGCAATGGGGCCAATGGAGCATGGTCTGAAATCTCCAAAGCCTTGAGCCAAAATAAACCCTTTCTTAATCTCAGGGATTTCATCACAGTAACAGAAAGCTAACATAAGTTGCAACTACAATTGCTACTGCGATGTTTCAGTGTCACTGTGGCAATTAGGGAATGTGGCCCTAATTACAAGATAAATATCCATACCATTTTGTTATTCTGGTTGGAAAAAGTGGGGAAGGAAAGTCATTGCTCTTACAGAGACATTCCATTGATTTCTAGAAGGCCTCACCTGCCTGGAGCTGGGAAGCTCCAATCCCAYAGAGCACCATCGGGATATTACCTGGAGAGAAGATTGACCTGCACAAGTACCGTGTATCAAAAGAGAGGCAAAGGACCCTGGAACTAAAATACAAAATCAAATCCCTGAGCAGTACTGTTTGAAAGCCAACACTATTTTCTCTTCAARAAACTGCTTATTCACGGCAAACTAGAGGCTCTGGTAGCTGCCATTCCTCCATGACTCAGAAAAGTCATTAGCTTTATGACATTGCATTCTCTTCTTTCACTTCTGGGTGTCTGGAGACTGCAAAGCAGAGTTGTCACCTAGGCCCTTCAGATTCAAGGGTCTGGCTGCCAGAGGAAGTCAGGAGGATTTGGAGATCTGACTCTAGCCAGGTTTTACTTTATTTTGTTAGGACTCTGTAGAAAGGTACATTTCAAGATCAAGGTAAGATGGGTTGAAATGAATTGAGTGATCCTGGGAGCACAGTGGCTAGAGAAAAGGCACCCCTTGCCCCCACAAAATGTTGAAGGCATGAATGACTTTGATCCTCCATCCAGCGTGCAGACATAATGTTCATTTAAAGAGCCCTTGTGTTGTATTCCTAAGGTTATCACTTAGCTTGGCAAGAATAATAAAAGGCCAGCAGAAAGGTTTTGTCTGAACCGACTGGAGTGAGGAAACAGGGTCCTAAAAACCTGAATCTGAGGATAACAAAATTTCCAGGTCTTTAGGAAAGAGAGTGGGTGTGACTATGTCAGAGAAGTGCTACTGTGTAAACTTATATTATGAATAAAAGAAGTACCAGTTTAGCCACAAAGGAGCACTGGCTGACCCTTCCTCAACACTTCTGTCTTCCCAGCATGCCAAACTAGCTTTACCTCCCAGGGATTCCCAGCTAGTCCTCCATTTCCATTTAGCCAGAAACATTACAATAGACAAGAATTTRTCAGCTTCACATTAAACACACACAAACCCAAGCAAGACTCTGACAGGAGAGGTTAGTTAAGTCAGGAAAACATGCCACCTTCAATCCATGAAAAAATTAAAGATGCAAACAAGGCAAACTTGTGCTGCAAGGATCTGTAGTCTGCTCTTCTGTCCCTAGGACAAATTTGCTCATAGATTATCCCAGCCAGACAATTRCCTACTCTATTCTGGTGTATCATTATCTTTCAGAGAAATGACATTAAGGCAAGTAAGGGTCCCATTTCTTTTTTTTTTAATTTAATTTTTTTTTATTAGTTGCTCAAGACAATACAATGATCTTGACATATCATACATTTGATTCAAATAGGGTATGAATTCTCCTTTTTCCACGTGTACAGATTGTAGTATCACATTGGTTATATACATCCATGTGTATACATACAGCAATCCTAGTGTCA